AGCAGGAATTGCATAAGAGTCTGGTGAACACACGCCTGTATCTATATATCTATAAAGGCTGAAATTGGCCCCAGTGCTCAGGCCATTGAGGAGGGAAAGAAAATCCCTATGGAGACCTACGCATGGGCCGCTTGGATCCATGGGGAGCAGGAACAGATCCACTCGCCGCCCCAATCCTGGAGCAAGACGCGTGCTCCGAGGGGGACACGGATGGGGATGAGGCGCCCTGGACGGGGCCCGTTCCTCACGCGCGTTCCCTCCCCTTGCAGAGCCGCCTGCCCGGCATCAAGGTGAAGTACCTGCTGGTGCTGTGGCTGGGCATCTTCGTGGGCAGCTGGGTGGCCTACGTGCACTACGCGTCCTACTCGGAGCTCTGCCGCGGCCACGTGTGCCGCGCCGTCATCGTGAGTGCGCCAAAGGGAGCGGGAGCGCCGGGAACGCCGGGAACGCGCGGGGATGCTGGGCCTGGGGCTGTGGGATGGGGCAAAGCGCAGGGTGCACTTGCAAAGTGGGGAGATGGGTCCTCATCCCACCAGGATGTGGTGTCTGCTGCTCCAGGCACAGCAGAATGTCCATTTTCCCCAAAAAGTCCCCCAGCAGAAAACAAAAGAGCCCTGGGGAGCAGGGGGGAGTCACCCCAGCCCTGGCGGTGCCGGAGGCAGCCGGACCCCCAGCAAACACCCAAAATCCCAGTGGTGCCATCGCAGCTCTGTCCCGGAGAGCCTCAAATCCCAGGACAGAGGGACCTGGGGCAGATGCAGCTCCTGCCTCCGGGCAGCGCAGGTGGCTTCGTGCTCAGACGTGCCCGTTTCCAAAGGTGTTTCTGCCTCCCTCGCACGCAAGACGGGCACCAAAGCAAAGGAGAGAGGCCCAGCAGGGACATTGCTGAGACACGGAACTGTCAGAGCCGTAAAGCAAATCCAGGAACAACAAGGGAGAGGAGGGAGCTGGCGTAACCACCCGCCACCAATTGCCACCCTAACTGTTAATTCGATGCTAGTAACAGTAATTCAGGCGCTTCCCAAAGTTGCTGTCTCCCTTGCTCAGGCTGCAGGATGGTTTTGAAGTGCCCCTCAGCCTCGCTGGGGTTTATTTGCTCATTACTGTCAGCTTAGCACCCAGTGACACTGGTGCAAGAGGAGGGCGAAGCCCCAAGGACGCGGGTTGCACTGTTTGCAATTCCGCGCCTTGCTTGGGAGAGCGCTCCGGGTGCTGGGGAAGGAGAGGGGCTTTGGTGGGGCCGGAGCCCTGGGCTCGTCCCCGGCACCTCTGCGCCTTCCCGTCCGCAGTGCGAGCAGTACAGGAAGGGGATCATCGCGGGCTCCACGTGCCGGGAGCTGTGCGAGGAGCTCACCCTGCGCTTCCAGCGCTGCCTCTCGTCCTCCGCCGCGCAGCAGGTGGGTCCCGCGGGCGCAGGGAGCGGCTGGCGGCGGCCCCCAAAAAGGGCCCCCCCCGGG